ATGCAAAATTAATGGGTGGATTGTCATGGAAAAAATATATAGATTTTGATGAAGCTTTAACTCAGGCCAGAAAAATATTAGGAATAAACTACTACTTGGAACCAGCAGCAAAAGAATATATACAAAAATGCAAAAAAGCCAAAAATAAGAAAGCTCCAGAGAACCCATATTGTTCAAATATTAAGAATGAAGGATCATCCCAAAAACCTACGTATAAGGAATGCTTGACTAAGGGAGTAGATCCTTTGGATGGCGAATATATCGATTGGAAAATAATTGAAAAATTTGAAGAAGCATCCCCCCAAATTAAAAAAGAATTGAAAGAAGAAATACTTAAAGAATTAAAGAAAGAAATGAATGATAAATTTGAAGAAATGAAAAAAGCATATGATGAAAAATTTGAAATCTCCTTTTCTGATGTAGATACTATGGATTTAGGTGGTCATGGGCAGCCTGACCAATAAAGCAATATAATATAAATTGATAATAAATATCCATTCTTTGGGCGTGGGAAGACTATATTTGCGAATGACCAAAGTATGAATTGAATTTGAATCAATCCAAAATGCAAGGACAGTGAATGACATTTGACTGTTAAAAATACTGTGGAGAATATTGCTTTCGGCGGAAAAGAAAGGCGCAGGTACAGAGGTGTCTCCACCTTGGCCAATTCAAGGACAAAGTAAAGCCAAAAAGAAGATAAGCATCTCCATGGTGCGAGCCAGCTCGTGAAAATACAATATCTAGAAGATAAGCTTGAAGCACAGTCGAGCCTCCCGAGCTCCTATAAAAGGAGGGGTTTGCTCAGCTGAGAAGAACAACGAAGACACCATTCAGAGCAAAGCTTCCAAGCGCGCTCTCACCCTCCATTCCACCGTTCTTAGTAGTAGTGACTTTAGCCTACCTTGCATAGTATATTGAAGCAAGGAGGTGTGTTATAACGCTGTGTAAGGTAAGAACAGCTTGCTTGTACCTACCTTCGGGTTTCCCGAAAGGGAAAACCGTATGTAAGCTTATCTGTTTAATATGAAGTAATTTTCCTTAAGTATTCCTGCACTTTTGTTCTAGACAAGTGTTTATGCTAAGGACCCTATAGGAGAAATCTCTTCGGTTTGTTCTCGTTTTTAGCCTGCATCTTGCATAGGCGTCTGGAGAATCGGTATCCGTAGAGAAGTGTTCCCTTCGGGTGGAACTGCCTGGGGAGACGATAAACTCTTAACTAGAACAAGTGTGGCTTGGAATATCTTTTTAAGTTGCTTCTAAAAAGACAGATAGGTGAGGCATACGGTGAGTACCGAGTAGGACTTTACATCATCTGAAGCAAGCTTCTGAGGCTGTCTAAATAGGATTCGCCACCCTGCAAAGATCCTAAAGTTAAAATATCTCTCGAAGTGAACAGTATTGAACAGTAATTTAAACAGTAAACTAAATAGTGTTTTTGAATAGTAAACTGAATAGTATTCAGCCGAATAAATAGTGTTTTTGAACAGTGTATATTGTCTGAAGCATAAGTGTGGTATTAGAGCAATATATATATATATACATATATATATATACATATATATATATATACATATATACATATATATATATATATACATACATACATACATATATATATATATATATATACATACATACATACATATATATATATATACATACATACATATATATATACATACATACATACATATATATATACATACATATATGTATATATGTACATACATATATGTATGTATATACATATATATGCATATACGTGTATATACATATATGCATATACGTGTATATATCTATATGCATATACGTATATATCTATATGCATATACGTATATAAACTACTTGCATAGGTACAATTGTATTTTCTACGCAATAGATATTAAAATAGATTTGGATTTCATATATAACTCTTTACTATTGTTTCTATATATATAACTATATTTTTTATTTAAATATATCGATCAATCTTTACCGTTATAATTTAGACGATCCATCACGATATAATGATTCAAATCTTCTTTTTTTTTCAAGTTAATATGTGAATTTCTAGTCTCAACAGACATGGTGACTACTCTTTTAATACTTATGTTCGTACATAGATAGATAGATTTGGCTCAGTAATTACCCCTATTTTTAGCTTAAAGAGCAAGATGCGTCAGGGAAAGTAAATCAAACCCCACAAGCAACTACTCCATACCAAAGAGAGAGAAGAAAATAAACTCGAAACCACGTATTTATAAACGAAAAATAATTTGTGAATAAAAATTTTATATACGTGTTCTTAGCGATTTAAAAGTAAAGGTTGAAAAATAAACTTCGATGAAAAAACCTCAAAATCAACTCCAAATTTAAAGTCAAAAAATTAAATTTTAGCTGATAAGTATAAACATAAGTAAAAAGATGAAACCTTGACTACCCTTCCTGATCGATCTATCCCAAGTTACACATCCCTCGAGGATGCTGAGTTGCTGACATCCAGCATCCGGATAATAGCATGCTTTAATCACACATATGACATCTCCAGCATCCATATAACTTAATATAAGAATATATACTCTCTCCATATTTTAATGTATGATGCCGTTGACTTTTCGACCAACGTTTAACTATTCGTTTCATTTAAAATTTTTGTGCAAATATAAAAATATTTATGTCATGCTCAAAGAGCATTTGATGACGAATCAAGTCATAATAAAATAAATGATAATTACATAAATTTTTTTAATAAGACGAATGGTCAAATGTTGGACAAAAAGTTAACGGCGTCATACATTAAAATATGGAGGTAGTATTAGGCATCGAATCGGTTTCTAGCTAGCCCTGGTTTCGACCGTATCCTTATGGATTGGATATTAATTGATCTTGTACTTTTGCGCATTAGGTTTCGCCATCCACGACTATCATGCAATAATCGTGTTGGGGTGAAAAAAAATTCATATACTCATCCAAACGGGATATTTACATATTTGTTTCTCCAAACTCTAAATAATTGCCCAGCTGGTCCACCCCCGGTGCATGGGCGAGGCCGGCGAGCCGCAATGCCATGGCTTTTGACTTCACGGTGTTTCTGCAACAAAGATACTGTTCAGCACAAATTATGTGTAAGGAGCGGGTTCCGCAATGGTGAAAATCCTACCGGATTCTAACCGTCTCTGATAATGACAATGTTCTCAGGTTTTTCCTCCTTTGAGGCATCATGACCACACTTCATTCTTTACACTAGTCTCCAAGTGAAAACCTTGCTCTGGTTTTTCGGACAGGTGGTGATATTTCTCATATCATATCCTTTATTGAGGCATCGCTTTAGAGGATTTGTGCGATAGTGGTCATTTTTGGGACCAGCTTTGATGGCTGTGGTGATGGCAATAACTAGGCGAACGACCGAGTTACTGCTCTGTTACTCTCTGATGTTATATATCTTTCGCTTACTCTATGATATTCTCTTCCATGGCTTTGGCTAGACTTCAATCTTCGGTGGTGGCATGAGCGAAATTTGATCGACAAATTAAATGATGATCCGAGATGCTATTTTTTTTATTTGAGAAAGATAAGGACCGCATAACTTGCAAGCCGCTACAAAAGTAGTTCCTCGCTAATCTAGATGGAAGTTGTTCTCTAATTTTAGGTCGATATTCTAAGTAGTTATCTTGTTTAATTTTAATCAAGTTGTGATTTTGTAAGTCGTAGTTTTTGATTTGCAGCCTCTGTAATATAATTGATTGTAGCTTTTGTGAAGTGAAAGTTGAAATGGATTCCATTATTAAAAGAACTCTAAATAATTGCCGCATGCCATTTGGAGTATTAGAGTACTACCTCGTGGTCATGTATGCACCAGCTCAAAGTGAATGAGAGAGAACCCCTGTCTTCACAAGAATCTTGAAGATGTTGTCCTGAAATCCCGAATGAATGAGTCCAATAATTCCGGAATTCCCTGTGTCTTCTTCACATCTTGCTTGGCTAAGAACGAAACATTTTCTCTCTTCTTCTTTTTTGGGTTGTGGGATATGAGTGGACCTGATGATGTTATTGATGTTTACAAAACATGATCATGACTCTTTCACAGAGAAGATTTTCTTTAGTGATCTCATTAGAGAGAAGATTTTGTTTAGTGGCTTGTTCGTAGCTGGATATCGATGCACAAGATCGCTAGTTGCCGTGGGTCACGTGTTACAGCTGAAGCAAAACCATTGACTTGTGTCCTATATCAAATACAGCTACAGGCACATTGGATTATTACTTTTATCCAAATATAGTAGTCGTAGTAGTCATTTTTGGAACGTGCAAAAGCATGGCATGTCATTCCATTAATTCTCCAAACATATATTGATAAAATCTTTCAAAAATACACTTATGTGATATAAAACTTCAATGTTAATTTAGTAAATTTATTTTAACATGACAAACCTTAACACATGTGTACATTGCTGTCGGGAGATTAATTTTGAGCTTTCACTACACGCTCTAAAATACTCCCTCCGTTTCGAAATATTTGACACCGTTGACTTTTTAGCATATGTTTGACCGTTTGTCTTATTCAAAAATTTTTGTGAAATATGTAAAATTATATGCCTATATAAAAATATATTTAACAATGAATCAAATGATAGGAAAAGATGTAATAATTACTTAATTTTTTTAATAAGACGAACGGTCAAACATGTTTAAAAAAGTCAACGGCGTCAAACATTTCGAAACGGAGAGAGTATTACCTATTCGAGATTGAAAGAGATACTGAGCTTAATTAATTTATGTTTTAGCTCACATTTTGGTTACCTCTCCCAACCATTCTGCAAATTGTGATGAATCATGATAAATAATATTTGTGGATTTTTTTTTTCAAAAAAGAATGTAAAAATCAAAACACATCTTTATATAGAAGCAAAAGGACAAGCTTTGAATTGTTCCTTCCAAATCTTGAAATAAGTAATCTTGTATGGAGTCCAGTGCAAAAGATCGGAGAATTCCTGCGCTATTAATGCCACCATCACACTCTGACACTCATACATACGCCGCTTTAATACACGGATACAGATACAGACACGCGCACTCCATTCGCCTCCCTCCGAAACGAGTCCGAAACGGAGAGCTAAGCCAAGAAAACCCAGATCGCCGCCGGCGGCAACCGCGCCGAGCCGAGCCATGGACCACCGTACCTACAAGGGCGGCGTCAAGGCGTACTGGAAGCACCGCGGCTACTACCGCCTCGACGCCGCCGCGGCGCAGCGCCGCGCGCCGCTCCCCACCGCGGAGCTCGGAGGAGGAGCGCGGCGTGGCGGCGCGCCAGCGCAGGAGCCTCGCCGCGCGCGGCGCCACCGCGGGTGGCGCGTGCGGCACGGGCTCGGGAGGCGGGTGCTGCGGGCGCTGTCGCCGCGGCGGTGGCTCGTGCGCCTCCGGGACGCCTACGTCTCGGCCATGCTGCGGCTGGCGTCGTCCCCGGCCGTCGGGTTCGGCGCCGGCGCGCCCTACTGCACCGCGGGCCAGGAGTCCTTCGCGCGGCCGCGGCAGCTCAAGGAGTACGACGAGAAGGTGCTCGTCGAGATCTACCGCTCCATCCTCGCGCGCGGCGGCGTGCCCGTCGCCGTCCCCGCCGGCGGCCCGGCCGCCACCGCCACCGCCGCCGCCACAACTATCCGGCTGTCCACGGCCGCCTGATCAGCAGAAGAAAACAAGTTTGTTCTTCTCTACTTCAGCTTGTGAATGTAACTTGTTTTCTCAGAGAACATCTCCTCCCGTTTGAGAAAACATCTGCTCCTGCTTGTAAACTCAAAAGTGCTTTCTTGCTGCCACAACTTCATACTTCATATATCGATCAATTCGCATCGATCTTAATTTGTAATGACTTATCTTGTTGTACTGTTGCAGTATGCATGTGACTATTAGTGCAAAGCATAAATCAACCTGAAAGAAATTGTGATAAGCACGCTAATGGTACAGGTCATATAGCCAAAGCAGTAGCACTATTGAGATTTGAGAGTTGAAGTTTCGTCAATAAGCTTCCTGATCCTGCTAGATTGGTATTATGAAATTACTATAAACTAGAAGCATACGTTCTTTCTTTAATAGGGATCGAACATCAGCTTTGCTCAGCTTTGTATTGTGTTAGCAATTAAAAAAAAACTTGATGTTGACATCACTTTGTTTGCTTCTTTTTATTGAGAAGAAAATTCAGTAATCTGATCTAGTATGTTGTTCCTTCATCTGAGCCTAACTAAATTCCTAGCCCATCCCTAAGAGGGGTTGGGATTTGGCCCATGCTAAACAATGGCTTACATGTTCTGCTAATTATTTTTCTGGTATATTCAGTAGCAAATCATAACCTCTTGGCAACGGCTTGCATAAATAATAGTATAACGCCAGCATCTTACAGGGTATCAAGTAGGATGTTTAATGATGTAGAGAGGATAGAAAGAGAAAAGAGAAGAATGATGTATATTGATCACCCGTTGATCTAACAAATATATAGTTTTTTTTTGCAGGAATAAGTATATATTTTAATAATATACATATCACCGTATATATTATCTATATAATCAAATCGTCCAATTTGTGAATCTATTGTATATAGCTAGAGGACATTTCTACGCATGACATAAAACAGTTTATACACATATTATCTATCTGAGGTATTATTAATACTCCTACATAATAGACATAGTTGCATTTCGTGGAGGATTACAGGAGTCATATATTTGTGAACAGATTAGTAGATAATATCATGTATAAACTTATCGGATTTTGTAAATTTATTGCAATATAAAATTATATTCGAAATTAATATTTTAGACCATGAAAAAAATCAACCATCATATACTTTTAATAGAAGATAAATACCATTCCACTAAAAAAAAGATAAATACCACATTAGCTATACATGTTTTAATACATATCATGGTGCGACTCTGTGCTGTTGAGTTATTTGTTTTTTTTGGCAAATTAAATATGAAAATTTTGTTCTAATACTATTGATTTAATTTAGCTATGCAAGTTTCTAGAATTTTTCATAATGACATAATATTTATTGTCAAAATTTTAAGGTATTTAGATGTGGTGCAGAGTGCATGGGTGGACTGTGCCCAAATGCTATAATTCTTATACAGCAAAATATATGCATATATAAATATTATATTGTTAGTTTAATTATAAATAGAGAATAATTATATAGAAATCAGACATGTAGCTTACAAAAAATTGTAGTTTTTTCAACATTGATTGTTTCTCTTCTAGTTTAGTAGCTACAAAAATAAGGAAGGGGAGTTGCAGTGTTTTCTACATGTGAGGTAGAAGAGGAGGTGGAGGGATTTTAGTGAAAACCGATGAGAGATGTTTCTTTTTCCTCAGCATTTCTTTTATTGTTTTTATAACTTGTAAGACATGACACGTGTTACCTTATGTTTTTTTTTTCTAAAAATAGATGACATGTGTTGACTTATGGTTCTTCCAAAAATAGATCTAATTGATGAAAATAATGAAATCCATCGAGTTAAGTTGGATCGTTTTCTATTTTTTGAGACATGATACATGGTTACTTACAAGTGCGATATGGGACGTTTAATCAATTTTTATCAAGTAGACTGATTTAATATGACATAATTAATGCATATAGTCAACCTTTTCAAAATGTCTCATTCTTATTTGGTTTCCATGCAAAACATAGGTGTCAATGTTCAAATGATGTATTTAAATTTATATTAAAAATATGTATAATATGGAACTTGAATTATTTATTTAGTTATAAATAAAACAACAATTGAAACAAACTAAAAATAAGATACAACTTTTAAAATTCTAATCATTAATCTTTCTAACTATTGTTTTTTTACCTAATGATGTCCATTAAAAAAAGAGAGGATATGAGGGGAGAGAAGGAGAGATAAGGTACGTATGGAGACATCACTTGAACATATACATGACGTGTGATGGGGTGGGAAGTGGGTCTTTTCTGTTTTTATATTGTTAAGATAGCAGTAGAAAATAATAGGTACACCATGTTTAAGTTAAAATAATCGATGGTTAGGTGTATTATGTGTTTCTTTAGAATTTCAAAGATTTATTGTAGTGTCACATGGTGTCTTAGGAGTGTTCGTAGGTATCGCGCGTGGTGGCTTGAGAGTATTTTGTTGGAATTTTAGTGGACTTTTAGTATATAATGGATAGATAAGGCATGCAAATTGTCGAAATGCGCCTAATATATCTCTACAAGTTTCTTTAGGGAATATATTTCTACAAGTAAAATTATACTGATGTAAACTACATTTTTCTGACATTGTAGATCTATTTTAGTTGCATGCTAGTGAAGTTATTGTATAGCATGAAACAATATATAATGTCACTTTCTTTTCATAATTTTTACTAGCTAAATTATATTCAAGAGGTGTATTAAATTCTAATTTGTGATTTTAATCATAATAACATAATGACACAAATAGAACAAATAATTTCATCCGATAGAAAAAAAAACTTCCTTAAAAGAGAAACGGAGAGGAGATATGTACATGCGTATGCACGGGAAGAGGGGACATCTCTTTGTAAGAGAGAAAAATCAATCTAATCCAACGGCTTTGAGTGATGGGCCTATTAATTTTAGTGAAATCAAAGGCTAGTTTTTTTTCTTAGATTTTTTCTAATTTATTAGAGCGCCACGTGGCGTTATAGGAGCATTTATATAAGCATCATATGACAGCTTAGAAGCATTTATAGAAATTTTTACGTACTTTTACTATATAATAGATAGATTGGATATCATCGATATAATTTAGCGAAACATATTTGTAGAATTATTTAAGGTGACATATAATATATGATGACAACTTTTTTAAATAAAAAATGTTTCATTGTTATATTTGGTTGCCATGTAAAGTATATGACGCATAGAATAACATGTATCTAGAATTAAATAAGACATGGAATTAGTGAACTTAAAGATTAGGAAAGGGAAAAGGAGATGAGGGGAGAGAGGGAGTACATACCTACCGACTGGAGGAGGCCAGGAGGGGAACATAGAGGAGGTGGGGAATGGTTTGGAGAGGAGGATTTTATTTTTTTATTTGATCTAATGGTTGAAAATGTTGGACCCACCAATTTAAAGAAAAATTAACGGTTAGATTTTTAGACTGCCACTTGGCATCTTAGGAGCATTTGTAGGAGAACACGTAGAATTATTTAAGGTGACATATAATATATGATATCAACTTTTTTAAATAAAAAATGTTTCATTGTTATATTTGGTTGCTATGTAAAGAATATGACGCATAGAATAACATGTATATCTAGAATTGAATAAGGCATGTAATTAGTAAACTTGAAGATTAGGAAAGGCAAGAGGAGATGAGGGGAGAGAGGGAGTATGTATGTACCAACAGGAGGAGGCCAGGAGGGAACGTAGAGGAGGTGGGGACCGGTTTGGAGAGGAAGATTTTATTTTATTTTATTTGATCTAATGGTTGAAAACGTTGGACCCACCAATTTAAAAGAAAATCAACGGTTAGATTTTTAGACTACCACTTGGCATCTTAGGAGCGTTTGTAGGAGAACACGTGGCGTCTTAGGAGCGTTTGTAGGAAGTTTAATGAACTTTTAGTATATAATAGATAATAGATAGATAGAAGATTATACATATTTAACATACTCTCTATACAATTTGTTTAGATTGTTTTCTTATAAAAGATTCTCATAGATAACATTTTTTTACAAACTTATAAAAGTTTTCATGTAATATGTACAAAGTTTTCATAACGAGAAGTTTCTATAGGAAAAGTTCACACCCACAAACTTTCATATGAAAAGAGGGTGCCAATTTTAGCAATAGCAACACTGCAACAGACATGCATCACTATGCAAAATTGTAATACTATAGAAAATTTCCAAAAGTAGCCCTGTATTTCCATCTCATATTGACCCATGCTAGTCTTAAAAATAATCTGAAATCAAAATTGGCCCCAAAGCTAAGCCCAACAACTTCTATGACGCATGGATGCACAAACACAATGAACTCCCTTATAGTTGGCCATAAGGCCCGAGGCCCGACAATTAGATCGATATCGGTTTATTAAAAAAAAGGGCACTAATAACTCACGATTCCCGTAAAAAAAACTAATAACTCACACCACATCAGTGTTGGTTAGTCTGCAAAACCAGAACTAATTTGGGACCATCAATTCGGTTTTCGTCTGCCAAGTTCAAACATGGATCCGTGGTGAGAGGGGGCGGAACCCCTACTGGTGCCGACTTTTCTTTAACCAGCACTAATAGAGCGTTACATTTACCAAGTTATGTGGTAGTGCAGACGTCAGTCTTTGTAGTCCTTTTGTTCCCTTGATTTCTAGAACAAAATTTTGTCAAACAAAAATGGAGGCGGAAAACTAGCACGGACCATCTTCCATCAATTCTTCCGTAGCAATATATGTGTTTTTATGTAAAGAGAAGCATAAAAATGCACACAAGAGAAAGATGCCAAGAAGATCCTTCTCTCACTACAAGAAAAATGCATATCTACCATTGCATAAGTTTGGATTCGCTGGAATACCATCACTAAACAGTGTTTCGCTAGAATACCCCCTCTTAACTAGGTGTGTTTGTCAAAATAGCATCACAGACGAAAATGCCCCCGCCTCTTCATCTTCTACCTTCGGCACGACAGTAGCAGGTGAGACAAGGACGTGCGTCGTCGCGCCGCCGCCATGCCCCGACTCGCCGGCCGCTGTCGCACCACCGCTCGCCTCGACTCGCCGCCCGCCGCCCCGCCTTGACTCGCCGGCCGCCGTCGCCTGCGTCGTCTCGGCCGGCCACCGTCGTGGGCCGCCGCCCTGCCCCAACTCGCCGCCCGCCGTCGCCCGCGTTGTCTCGGTCAGTCGCTGTCGCGTGTGTCATCTCGGCCAGCCGCCGTCGACGCGCCGCCCCCACTGTCGGCGAGTTCGTTCGCCTGCCTCGACACG